ACGTTGGATAACAAACTCACAACCTATCTAACTAAAAATCAGGAAACCAACCGGAGAATTAACTCTCCTTATTTGATTATACCAGACCTAGAAAAACTGCAAATTGAATTAATCTTCCAACAGCTCTACTAACCCAAGTGTCACCTCTATGCCCCCTGCCCACCCTCTACCTTCTCCAAACTTCCCTCCTCCCGTCCATGTTAGCAACAGGTCCCCACATAGTCTCTTAGCCTAGTCTTGGGTCTCCAAGCACTCCTATCAAAAGTAACGTCCTCAGAAACGTCTAGGCCCGCCATATCCCTCCTTAATTGCTCTCCTGCTCCTCTCATGTTCTCCTTGGCATGCCCCTCGTCCTCACCCTCGCAACTGTCATACTTTCTATCCAACTCACCGGTGTTGTCATCCCCTTAATTTATCTATTATACGCGCAACTCAAAACTCTGCCCAAAAGACCACATTCGATATCATGTTCAACATGGCCTGGCCACAAGTCCACCTACACATCCTCATTTCTACAACTTCCAACTTTCTTTCATATGTCTTTCTCGTTGCCAACACTCCGACCTATACAACATTGTTGGTTTGATGACTACCTTGTAGAATTTCACATTAAGTTTTAGTTGGACTTTGTTGTCACACAATCCTTACCTGACAACTCTACACTTTAATCACCCCGCCTTTTATCCAACTCTACAATTACAGAGACATATCCTGGATTTCGAGAGCCAGGTTCTCTCCAAAATGTGGTAGAGTCACTAATTTCTGCCCCTATTCTCCCGATTGGTTTGAAGGAATGGAATGGATTTGGGGGGATTTGCATTTCAAATCCATTCCAATCCCATGTTTGGTTTGTTGGATTATCTAGATTTGAAATCCTAGGATTTAATTGAAATCCTTCAAACATAGGATTTTGAAATCCTTAGATAGTGCTTGGGATTTCACGGGATTTCGTAGGATTGAGGTTTTAAAAAATACTAAAAACATTTGTTTTTTAATAATCAATTAAATGCAATTCAATTATTTTTATAATTTTTTCTATAAATAATGAAATCCAATTCCATTCCAAATCCTACAAACCAAACACACCAATGATTTCAAATCCATTCCAATCCAAATCCCTCTATGAAATCAAAATCCCTAAAAAACAATCCTGCCAAACAAACAGACATCGGTGCCTAACATTACCCCGCCCCCAAAGAACCTTGTCCTCAAGATGGGAAAAAATCAAATTGGAATTGATCAATGAGCGTTGGTGGTGGTAACAATGGCGGCAACAACAGTAGTGATAACAACGGTGGCAACAACGGTGATGGCCATGGTGCCAGCAATGATGATGGTAGTTTCCAACGGCCATCAACCAACATTCTCCCCTTTTGCCATGAGGGCGTGTTTGGTGTCCAGACAAGACATGATAGGACAGAACAATTGTTCAACGTTTGGTAATATAAAACTAGAGAGAACAGAACAAGTAAAATGACCAATTTACCCCTGATGAGTTGTTTATTTTAATTAATTTATGTAATTTATTAAATTATAATAGAATAATTATTTTTTATAACAAAATATATCATTTGAAGTTTCGTCAAAACAATTAAAATGACACCAAATAAAAAGTTTATGTAGTTTTCCAAACACATAATGCAATGATGGATTCCTCGATCAAGACCTTCCATCCTTTTGGTGTTCACGGCATACGGAGTGCAAATTATTTGGATATTGTTCCTCACAGATTGGAGTCCAGAATCCACCGATTCCAATTTTCCTTCCATCGCCTAGACAGTTTCTACCAATGAATCGATCCGTTCTCCTTGGTTTTTAGGGGGCATGGCTGCCAAAATCATAGGCTCTGATACCAATGATAAGAACCAAAGGATTTGTACTGAATTCCACTTGAAAATGACAATTACAGAGACATATCCTGGATTTCGAAGAGCCATGTTCTCTCCCAAATGTGAAAGAGACTAATTTTTGCCTACCCTATCCTCCCCTCTCTCATATTTATTAACAACCCTAATAACCCTGATGGGTTTGGGCTTGGAATCAGTGCCTAACAGTTACATCATCCTTATTCCTTGATCTCTCACGTATTTTGAATCATGGAACCTAGATACAAAACCTTGTTTGTATGGGATATCCTTTGATCCCCAATATCAATTCATCAATTTGAGTATTGATAATATTTGGTTTCATTCACGATGATTTTGGTTTAAAACCACTAAAACCAAAACCTAAGTTACGGTTGTCTTTAGTCTTTACTATGAAGAACCTCTTGTCCCTCTTCGTCTTACCAAAGGGAGATTGTACCCTTTTACCGAAAAAATGACTGAAACCATACCACTCAAGATTTCATATGGTTAAAGGCAGCCAGCTTGGTTCTTGGTTTTTCATGTTCACCCCTAAATGTATGTGTATGGCATAGTGGACAAAACTGAACCTTTCCTTTTATTCATGAAGCACACAATGAAACCCATTAGAGCATTAGCAAATTGTAATCACATATAAATTGTCATCGACTCATTGTACCTACCAACACACTTGTATCATACAATTCTATTAAGTTTTCCTAGACTTCGTGCCTTATCTATATTGTGCCTACCAATTTATTATGGAGTATACCAATCCAAAATACATATTAGTAGTCGTATGACTACAAGGTTATTTGGTTGGCAGATTATACTTGTAATGTACCACTAAGACAAACAATGTTCTTGTAATTAATCAAGTATTTTTTTATGCTTGTTTTTATTTATACATAATTACATATTATGTAAATAATGTCAGAAAAGTTGAAGCAAGTCTACTAATCAATTTCTTTATAATTCATGAAATTGGTATCACCCATTCACCAGTTGACAATTGAGATATATATGTATGTCCATGTCTCATAGTAGTCAATTCATGAAACCAAAGAATTAAACGAATTTCATATTTTTTTAAATAAATCAAGAAATCCATTTACATTCTCTAATCACTCCCCTTCATTATCAGGTAGAACTTTTTCTCTTCAAAACCCACAATTGTACAATTTTATCCTTCTCTTAACATAAGATGATATAGTTGATCCAACCAAGTGATTTTTTAACGGAGAGGCAAGGTCTCATTTAAAACCAAGGCCTTAGTTGGTCTTTTGAACTCGACAATTACATACTATAAAACTTCAGAAATATAACCAACTACAAATCCTACAGCAAGGTCAGTATTACATGCTTTTATTGAATAACTCATATCGTCACTGTTCACCTAGACAGCGTTTGGTACGCAGACATGATTGGACAGGACAATAGGATAGGATTGGACACGACTGGACGGGCCACGACCGGACAGAACAAGAGTATCTCTGGTGTTTGGTATGACTAGGACGAGAAGGGACAGAACTAGACAAGCTACCCCCAAAAGTTATTTGATGATTTTAAATATTATATAATAGTTATAATTAACACAAATAAAGTAAATAATTAACGAATTTAATTTATAATATTTGTACACAATTTTCCAATAAATGAATATGTACATATATAACGGTATCAAAGTTGAATGAAAAAAATGATATAATTGATGGTAGGGCTGTAAACGAACCGAACGTTCAACGAACCGAACGTTCAACGAACCATTCATGAACCGTTCGGCGGGAAGTTCGTTTATTTAATAAATGAACGAACATGAACAATTTTTTTTGTTCGTTTAGTTAAACGAACGATCATGAACAAGAGTCCCGTTCATTCATTTATGTTCGTGAACGTTCGTTTGTTTACTGTTCGTTTATATTCGTTCGTTTATATACTAAATTTAATATATAATCTTTTGTTTATTTACTTTGAATTCAAATAATATTTATTTATGTTCGTTTAGCCCGTTCATTTATGTTCGTTCGTTTAGCATGTTAACGAACGAACATGAACGAACATAAACGAACACGAACACACCTGATTTCTAAGAACGAACACGAACACAAAGATTTTAGTTCGTTTACCGTTCGTGTTCGTTCGTTTGTTTGGTTAAGTTAAAAGAATGAACAGGAACAAGCCTCTGTCCATGTTCGTTCGGTTCGTTTACAGCCCTAATTGATGGTAGTATGGTGGAGTAGTTTGATTATGGTGGAGGTGAGGTGGCAATGAATGGTGGTGGTCGATGGTGGTTGTGGAGGTCGTGGAGGAGGTTGTTGCAATGCAGTAGAGGAGGAGTTAGAGGGGTGGTAGTGGCGGTGGCAATGGACGGTGATGGTCGGTGGTCAATGGTGGTTATAGAGGTGACAATGGACAGTGGTGGTCGGTGGTTGTGGAGGTCATGGAGAAGGTTGTTGCGGTATAGGAGGATTTGGTAGTGTTGGTGGTAATGGGTGATGGTGGTCGATGGCCGACGGTGGTTGTAAAGGTGGCAATGGACGGTGGTGAAGGAGATTGTTGTAGTAGAAGAGGAGTTGGAGGTGGCGAACGGCGGTAGTGGTGGTGGCAATGGACGGTGGTGGTTAGTGGCCAACTATGGTAGAGGTGGCGATGGACTTGGTGAACGGTGGTTGTGGAGGCGTTGGAGGATGTTGTAGTGAAAGAGAAGGTGGAGGTGGAGGTGGAGGTGGCCGCCGAAACTAGCGTCATGACCATTAAAACAAATACCATATTAAGGTTATATATCGAACTATGATAGATTAGTAATATTTTAGTTTCTGTCTCATTTTCTCCCATCTTGTTCCACCAATTTTAGTGGAACAAGAAAAAACATTTTTTGTCCCATGTTGTCCCTGTCCCATGTCGCGCCAAACGTGGGATGTCCCATGTCGCGCCAAACGTGGGACAGTGAGTTCTTGAGTTTCCTGTCTTGTCCCATCCCATGTACCAAAAGCAGCCCTACACTACTGGACAATTTCATCCAATGGCTAGATGGTAATTAGCATTTGAAATAAAAGTATACATGAAGGTGAGATAAATGGCACCTCAAATATTGATATTTCAGCAATACAGCAGAAGAATAATATACTGAAGCAGCAAACAAAAAGGTAAACCGACCTTATCATCCACGGTGACCTTAAGCTGCAAAGTCCTGCTCTTTCGCTTCATTTTATACAATCTGCGTCCCAAAATTACAACACCCATCATTGCAGCTGCCACAGAGAGAGTCCATACCGGGCTAGCCCTATATAGACAATATTTCAACAAATCGAATGGAAGCTTCCACCAGACCGCTACCCTGTTCCTTTCTTCACTATCTGCTTTCCTAGTTTCAATCAACACATCTTCATTCTCTCCTTGGTCTCTTGCTTGTATGATCTTCTGTTCACCTGAAGGCTCATGGATCTTCATGTCATCATCATATGTATCCACATCCATTTTTTCATAGTTTCTTGTTTTAGATTCAATTTCGCCTGAATCAGACCACGATTTGTCCATCTCAACAGATGCACTTCCATCATAAGCCACTTGCCTTGTTCCAGTTTCACCAATATCCAGTTCCTTGTTGTTGGCTTCCGATTCAACATATTTGCCATCATCAGAAGAACCATCGGTGCTCCAAAACTCCCCCATCTCCTTGGTTGTCGAATAACGAGTGTCACATGCGGGATCAATCCAACTAGGATTGTCCGACTCAACGGAAATACCGTCAGTAACGTCTTCAACCTGAGTTCCGGCATACTTGTTGCGAGAATCAAGGGAGAAATAATCAGATCGTATTATGCCTTCAGAGTCGCGTTCGATTCCCTCCAAATAGCTGGTATTCTGAAGGGAGGTGGAGTCCTCTGAATTGGGGAGAACCTCCCAATCGTTTAATTCTACATCCATGATGAACTGGTGTTTTTGAAATCAAAACCCTAGCTGTATGAAGGTGTAGAAGATGGGGGAAGACAGGAAACGAGTGGTAACCCAGAAACAAAAACAGGTCTGCCTGCTATCCTTCCAGACAAGCAAAAGGATGGATTGCCCACCCAAAATACATCAATAATTTCAACACCTGTCGCTATTAAGAGGACGATTTCTTAAAGATTTTTTTTTTTTTTTTATGGATTTATTAATAGAGAATCGACCCACACCATCTCTATTGGGTTTATCTAAATATCATTGCTTTTATAATATCTAAGTTTTTAATATTACAGATTTGACTAAAAAAAAAATTCAAATTCAACATAAATATATAATTGAGATTACTAGATTTGCAATTGCAACAGTAAACTGAATGAATTCGAATTTTTTGTTTTTTAACGAAATACATATTATTATAGAATTGAATATTGTCGAAGCAATGACATTTGGTTTAACCGGAAAAAGAAATTGTTAGAAGACCAATTTACATGAAGGAAATAGTCATTTTAGTTAAATTCTCTTATTAATGTCATATAAGATCTTTTATTAAAAAATTATGATGGTTGTGAATATGATCTTTAATAAAAAATTGATTTTGGTAATTATTTATGTTGAATTATATAAGAAAATTGTAGAATATAATTTCTTAATAAGAAAATGATTTATATTACATCATGTTTTTTTAATATGTTTATAGAAAATGTATAAATAATCTATTAAATGAGATTTTAGTTATAAGAAAATACAACTAACATTGTTAATTAATATTGACGTAATTTTTATATTTTTGATTTTTTTAGAAATTCAACATTAATATATTAACGAAAATAAAAATATATTATATAATAAAAATACAAACTTAACACAAATAAAAATATATCATTATTTGTTTAAAATTTTCTTGAAGTTGAAGTTAATAAAATTTTCTTTGTGGTTTAATCATTGTTGTGGGATCAATTTCATGATTATTTTTCGATTTTTTGGTTTGTTCTTTAGTTATTCTGTTTTCATAAATGATGTATGAAGTTATTTTATAGCATATTTTCTGAGTACAAAAACTATATCTAAAATCACATACAAGTACATAATAGATTAACAAGTCATTGTTTACAACCAAATTTGGTTGATGAGATTTCACAAAAATTCAAAGAAGAAGAAAACCACGATTATAATGTTTTAACACTTGAACATTAATGTATTTTAAATTTAATATTTTAACATTTAATAAACGTGTATGTTTAAATTATTGTTTTAACATTTATTTATTGAATCAATTTATAAAATAAAATATTTTATTTAATTAATTCAATTTATTTTTATAATAATTATTTAATTACTACATTATTTAGTATTAAGTTAGGGAAAAGTTTTCAAAAAATCCAATAAATTTTCTTATTTTGAATGGTTTAGTCTTTAGACTATTTTTATGAATGAAAAAAAAAATCATTAAACACTCTCATTTTAAATGATTAAGTCTTTGAATTATTTTTTTGATTAAAAAAACAATTAAACTTTCACATTTTGAATGATTAAGACCTTGAATTTTTAAAAATAAAATAAATAGACCATCGAACTTTTACTAGTCAGTTAATGTGACTTTTTTGGGGTTAAAATGATGTAGGTAACAATTTTTAAAAGTGTGATGATTTATTTATTAAAAAAATGCTTAGAACCTTAATCAATCAAAATTAAAAAGTTTGATGATTTTTCCATTAAAAATAGAAATATTAATGATTTTTTCATCTAAAAAAATAGTCCATTGACTTAATCATTTAAGATAAGGTTTTAAGGTTTTTTTATTCCAAAAAATAGTTTAAAGACTAAATCATTTAAAGTGGAAAAGTTTGTTAGGTTTTTTGAACTTTTCCCACTAAATTACACTAGACAATATTTAATTATAGTTTTGTTATATTTTGTGCCATTTACCCTTCCATTTCTTCTACTTTTATTTTTATAATGGATTTGATCCCCTGTCTAGTTTCATTTTGATAAAAGGTTTTATCTCTTCCTCTACTTTCATTTTTATAATGGATTTGGTTCGTTTCTTTGATTAATAATATTTGATGGAACAAACATATATATCTTCTAAATATAATAGAAAAATAACTAAATAAACCTACATTAATCGGGTTTCAAACCAACCAAATTAATTTATCGACATGTTAGAAATATAGGGTCTTTGAAGTAATAACACAACTAAGAAGCAAAAAGTTAACGATTTAATGTAAGTAGAGTCAAATATTTTTATCGTATTACACTTAGGTGTCATTTAAAAAACAATTATTTGGGTAAATGTTTACCAAATCACATTACTTTAACGGATGAATATGACAAGGACCAAAAATCGTACCCGGTAAGAGCGAGACAAGGAACAAGAGTTTTACCGGGTAAGTGAAGGCGACAACTCTTACCACGGTAAGAGTTTATCAGGTAAATTATTGCATATTGTGTCGTTTTGATGGACTAAAATCTTACCCGATAAGTAAATAATAGTTTTGAACTTTACAGGTAAGCACTTATCCGATAGATTTTTGGTAATTTTTAGTTACTGCTTATATAGACCATACTTTTATCCAATAACGGTTACCTAATTTGTCTTGGGAAAAGGTCCAATATCGTATGTATGTGATTCTACTACTTGAAGTTGTAATAATTGTTTTTCATAACTTTAAGTAATGGGAAAATTGCATCAAAATGGAACCAACTTTCACCTAATTCCTATTTTGGGGAACTAACTTTCAAAATCGTCATTTTGGGGAACTAACTTGTACCTGATTCTTATTTTAGATAACCAACTTTCAAAATTATCATTTTGGGGAACCAACTTTCACATGATTCCTATTTTGGGGAACCAACTTGCAAAATAATTATAGAAAAATAACTAAAATTCGTTTTTTTCAAAAATTAATGCAATAAAATCTATTTTTCATTTCAAATTTTTTTTAATTCAAATATCAAATTGAACATTTAAAAAAATCCAAATTACCACAATAAAAATTGTTTTTTACTAATGCAAAAAAAATCCATTTAATAGAAAAAAATTAATTGATGCAATAAAAAATAAATATTAAATATCAGATTCAAGATTTTTATATCTAACCAATTGCATCAATTAATTTTTTCTATTAAATTGATTTTTTTTTGCATTAGTAAAAAACAATTTTTATTGTGGTAATTTGGATTTTTTGTTAAAAATGTTCAATTTGATATCTGAATTAAAAAAAACGAGATTTGAAATGAAAAATAGATTTTATTGCATTAATTTGTGGAAAAAAATGAATTTTAGTTATTTTTATATAATTATTTTGCAAGTTGGTTCCCCAAAATAGGAATCAGGTAGGGTTGTTCAAAAAAATCGTTGGACCACTCAAACCGGCCGAACCAAGTCAAATCGGACCGTTTTTTGCGGTTTGAGCGGTCTGGCGGTTTGGTTTGGTTTGGAAAATAGCAAAACCGGGCGGTCTGGTCCGGTCTTTTTGGGCGGTTTGGACCAAATCGATCGCCGAAAATATATATATATATATATATATATATTATATAATTTAATTATTTATTTTAGTATTAGCAAGTCCAACTTTTTTAACTTATGGGATATAACTCAAATATATCCCTAAACCCAACATAAAGTCTAACATCTAACATAATCGAGATGGATATTTAATCTAAAGTTATAAATTATATATGTTTTTTAAGTTTAATATTTAAAGTACATTAAAGGCACAAACCACCTAAATCGGTCAGACCAGACCGCCTTTTTATGGTCTGGTTTGACCGGTCTGGGTACTTGATGTCAAACCACTCGGTTTGAGAATTTTATAAACCGTCATTACGGTTTGGTTTGTGGTCTGAGGGGTTAACCCGCCCAAACTGGACCGCGAACACCCCTAGAATCAGGTGCAAGTTGTTTCCCAAAGTGACGATTTTGAAGTTGGTTCCCTAAAATAAGAATTAGTTGCAAATTAGTTCCCCAAAATAGGAATCAGATGCAAATTGGTTCTCCAAAATGACAATTTGAAAGTTGGTTCCTCAAAATAGAAATTAGGTGAAAGTTGGTTTCATTTTGATGCAATTTTCCCTTAAGTATTTGATAAATTATAACTATTTAATCAAATAATAAATTTACAAGCAATCCATAAAATAAGAGGGAGATATAAACAACTTTACTATTACATTTAGTAGTTAATTTTATTATAATTAGAATCAAATTAATTACTTAACCCTAAAATAATTTGATAATAAAAAATAAAATTAGGTTATTCATTAAAGATAAAATAATATTTGCAACTTAAAATTGCAATCAAGAAAATCACATATTCACATTTAAATAACTCAAGTCAAACTATTTTTATGTTTTTTATTTATAATATTTAAATGAAAATATATAAAAGGTTGGGAATATGTGAACGATTATTCTATTATTAGATGTTTTTGATCCCATAAATATGATTATCTTAATCTTTTATGTTTTAAAGGATAATGGATAGATTAATATTATATATTCTAATACAAGTTTATTCTTAAAACAAAAATAGATTAGACCATCTATAATAGAAATTGATGCAGCTTTTAACCATTATATTTAGAACATATATGTTTGTCCCACCAAATTTTATTGATTAAGATTATGTTTGGTAATCATAAGCTAATTGATTTTTTAAGATTATTTTAAAAGTTCTGTTTAAATGGATAAAAATTAGCTTATAAGCTAACCTATTGTAGCATTTTATAAGCTTTAGAAGCTTTTTGTTTTTTTTTTCTTTCAAATCTACCCTTGACATTTTATGTGAATGACAAAAATAACCTTCCCTCTTTAAAGAAAAACCCACACACATCCCCAGAACCTTTGGTCACATTTTTTTGCATAAAAACCGATTGGTATTCTTGCATTCATGTATATATATTCTTCCTTTAAGAATTAAGACAATTCAATTAAAAAAATTGAGATCTCTCACAAATCTATAAGCAAAAGGTAATCTTCATTTTTTATGCTTCTTTGTCGATATTAATTTGCTTGTTGAGTTGTTTCCTTATACAAATTTGTTTCTTTAATATTCTTGTTCCATTTGAAAAATGTTTTTTCATCTTTCTTATTCTAAGCTAAAAAATTCTACTAAGCTTTGTATTGCTTTTAAAG